TAGTTTAATTATTTTAAGACACTAGTTTTAAAAATTTATTTGTTTACGTAACAAACATAATTTTAATATTGTTAAAGGCAAAACAATCTTTATTAGTTTTACAAACCTAGTTTATCAACTATCGAGACTGACATTGAGTGGATTTTAAAGTGTTGATTAAACTTTATTAATCCATTTTTGCTTTTTTTGTAGCTCTGTATCATAAGTGTATATATTTACACATTTTAAAGATGCAAAGCGTCGCGTTGTTTATTAGTTTAGAAAGCAAAGCTGCAACTAAAAGACTTTTGAAGTGTCGCAACGCCTTGGCCTTTAGATTTCACCTTAGTAACTCTCTTACAATTCTGTGTGGCCCCAGACATATATATTTCAGAATAAGAAATGACTTGTTTTTAGCTTTAAGTGTTTGAGAAGTAATTGGCAAAATTCTCATCGTTAATTGCATTGTGTGCCCATTTAAAATGTAAGATTTAAAAGTGCTTGAAAAGTTGAAACACAATTTTAAGAAAAATAGTGGCACTTTAGACATTTTAAAATAAATAGTGGCACTTTAGACATTTTAAGATAAATAGTGGCACTTTAGACATTTTATAGAGAGAGAAATATCTCTAAATTACGAGGGACTGAGGTTAAATGTAGGTAAATGATTGAAAGATTGACCTTGATTTTTACATCCCTAATTACAATACAAACCAAAGACCCCTAACCTTAAATATGTAAGAACGCATGTTGAAATAGAACAGAGCTGACTTTTTCTCCTGAAATAATCATAATATTGACCTGACAGGATTACAGCCTCTGGGACCGAATTTAATGAATACTGCTAGTTCAAATTTGAACCAACAATTCAATGTTGAAGATCAAGGAAGTGTTTAAATCGGCGGCGGCGGTAGGCAGTTCATTAAAGTCGGTTCCTAAATAACTAATTATGAGTTATACAGCTTTATCTATGAAAGTTATGCATTATATTTAAAAACTGCGTTGGATTTAAAGTGTCGCAAAGCCTTATCCTTTCGTTTAAACTCATCATCTTATCATTTCAAAGTGTTTTGTTTTTGCTTTTAGTTTTAAAGGAGTTTGTCTCAATTTCACTAGATTTTTGTATGAGAGCTTGCATATCTTGGTTCACTACACTGATCCACTGGACTTTAGGATGCCATGGGAAAGTTTTTAGATATATTGCAACAAAAACAGTTAGAAACAGAAAACTGTAGAATAGGAACTTGATATTAAAGCAATAATTAATTATGTTTGATATTGTTGTAAAGCAAATAGTTTTATTAGTAATTTATTACATCAATTATTTAGTGAAATGGGACTGCATCATTGCCTTGTCTCAACTTTTAAGATCATTAGACTAATATTAAAAGTGAAAACTCTAGTCGCACAGTCTCTTGTCCAGAGTTTTCTGGCTGTCACTGTTCATCGGCACAATTGAGCTATTTTTGAAATTTATTGTAATTCGACCTATGTTCAAGGATTTTTCCAATTAATTGTACAACTGGTTAGCTCACGGTGCAAAATTAACTGGTTAGCTTTTTGTACAGCTGGTTAGCTAACTGTACAACTGTTAAGCTAACTGTAAAATTGATTAGCTCACAGTGTAACTGGTTAGCTAACTGTGTAGCTGGTTAGCTATAAATTGCACAACTAGTTAGCTATTTGTACAACTGGTTAGCTATTTGTACAACTGGTTAAGCTCATTGTACAACTAGTTAGCTAACTGTACATTTGGTTAGATTACTGTGTAACTCGTTAGCTAACTGTACAGCTGATTAGCTAACTGCACAAATGTTTAGGTATTGTACAACTGGTTAAATAACAGTACAGCTAAATCCAATAGCTGACTGAATAACTTGTTAGATAACTGTACACCTGGTTAGCTAATTTTGCAACTGGATAGCAAACTGTACAACTGAGTAGCTAATTGTTCAACTGGTTAGCTAATTGTACACCTGGTTGGCTAACTGTAAAGCTGTGTGGCTAATNTACAACAAAATGGCCGTTTTACACTTTTTTCTAGTTAATTCCTCTCTATATATTCTATGCTCTATGGATATGGAAAATATATGAAAAAGAAGATGAGCACAAAAAAAATTAAAAAGTAGATTCAAAACATTTAAGTTTCAAAGTTTTTGACGAGAAGAGTATAAAATATAGCGATTGTAATATAAAACATGGATCGTGCTGTGGATGATCATCTTGAATGTATTTTGACAGCAACTTAAGCCATGTAGAAATAAATAAATAAATAAATAAAAAATGATTTATTGTGATAAAATCAAATAGTGATTATCATTCACAAATGTAGAAAGGCTTCTTTTGTTTTAGTTTTGCATGTACGTTTAGAAAATTGTGCATGTTTATAATGGTATTATCATACTTTAGATCAATTTTAAACAAATCCCAACCCTACTCTTTACCACTAGAATATTATCATACAAATCCTAGAAAACCCTTGGCGAAATCAGAACAACAAATATACGTTTTTGACAATTAGACATTTTAAGATAAATAGTGGCACTTTAGACATTTTAGAATAAATAGTGGCACTTTAGACATTTTAATGTTTCCTTTTGTCATAGGCTTTCCAAAAAGCTAAGTTTTATCAAGATCTGACAAGTGAAAGTGGGTCAAAACAAAGATTTAGTTTGTTACAGGCAAAAGAAGTCATTCAGGCAGTGTGCCTGAGGACTCAGGCGGTTAGTATTAAAACCCGGTTTTAGGTCTAAAGGGAGGGCTTTGGGTATGCAAGAAAAGTCAGAAAATTTTAACAGCCTCAGACCAATACTTTTTGAGTTATGTAAAAAAAACTACAGGGGGGGGTCAAATTGACCCCCCCTAGCAGAAATAGGGTTAACATCTTATTGGAAAGGTATGTTGTTACCGTTCGATTTAAAATGCTATAGGTCGGCCATTTCTGAAGATATATGAATAAATAAGCACATTTTAGAAACATTACACCATACAGAAAACAGAAAAAATATAAAATATATTTTTTTTAATTGTCGAGGTGGTGGTCTTAAGGTGTAAGTGCGTAGCAGAAAAATCGACGATTTTGCAGCTAAATTTGCCAAAAACTGACGAATTTTCAAACAATGTAATTTTTCAAAATTTTATCTATTAGAACAGTATTTGGTATTTCTAAAATGATATAAAACATTATTCTAAATTAAAAACTAAGGATTTAACGAACATTTTAACGCTCAAATTAAAAAATGGCCAAAAAGTCACATTTTTTCTGGCGAATACAGAATTAATAGTCGAAAAAAAACTAAATTTTGGATGCTTCTTAGTTTCAAAAAATCTATTTAAAGAAAAAGAGCCGCTCTGAACAATTTTTACAGGACCGACCTAGCTGGCCTGGCTCTTGAACTTGTTGGACAGGGTACCTTGATTTGGTTTCTACTCAATCACCGGTGGAAGACTTAGTTTTTTTCTCAGCAGATTTTTTATATTGCAATCGAACGGTAACATTCCCAATAAGAAATTGATCGCGGAAATTCTCCAATAAATAAAAAATTACAATATAATTCGCATTCTTGATCGAATACACCTCGTATATCATAGCGCAGCACGAACGTTAAAAACAAAGATCAGTGTTTGAAATTTTACATTTTGGGTTGGTTGAAAATTGAAATTGTCATTGTGACAAGGAAAAGAAAAATTATCATAGCTTTCACATCTTATTTCAAAAGAAAACATAATAAGGGGTTACAATTACACAAAATAAGAACATTCATATAATGATAATTTACTTAATGCAGGATGTCATGGATGGTGATCAGCCATAACGTTTGTGTTTCCGATCTTTGTGGTAACTTAACTATTTCAAACGCTGAATTCTGTTAGATCAAATATTTAAAGTTTGAAATACCAAAGACACAATCAGGTTGCAAAAGATAGGGATAAGAAAATTCGACTTTGTTGCAAAGATTCAATTCCTTTCTTTCCTGCTTTGTAAACTAAGGTCCTGTCATTCTTCAAGAATAAAATTTTTAGACGTGGTTTTTTAGGCCCTAATGAAATTCCATATTATACGGTCAAATTCAAATTCAAATTTATAAGTCCAAATGTCATATTTTATACCGTTCTTTTACTTTAATTTTTATGCTATGCTCTAATTGATATTAAACTATCGGATATGTTCCCTAGATTTTAAAAATGTCCGAAATGTTTAAAATTGAATCATCGTAAGTGCTACAATGTCTAATTGAGCGTTTTTTGGGACACCCTATACATACATTTTATAATTGCATAAATGCGACCCATATTGATATCTAGAAATATTCCCTAATTACATATAATCGTTGATTCTAATTATATCCATGTATATATTCATAAACCTATATACCTAGATACTCCCATACATCAAGCATACACAAGCCAGTTCAGGCAGTTTACACGCCTTCCTTCCTCTAGAGCTACAGTTCCGGATAATCTTTGGACATAAACAACTCTTTTTTAAAAAGATACTGAATTACAGTTTACAATAAAAAAATCCTGCTTTCTGAAGGCATCTGTCCCTCCTATGCCAGATCACATACCTTTTAGTTCTGCATGGAGTTGACAATAAGGAAGATATCGTTTTATACCTTGATTAATCTCTTATCTTTCACTTACTGCAAATGAAAATTATCAATTTTTAGAAAACTGGGATAACTCGATCAGTTTTGTTCAGACTACTAAGGTTAAAAGGTATCGTTGTGAATCGAGAACTCTTTAAATGAAGGGTTAATCCGACAATACCGTATACACGTTGATAATCACTAATAAATGATTTCAACGTTGTTAAAAATATTCACCAAATATTCTCGAATTTATTTTGCCTAAAGTAAACCACAAATAGATATTTATGGTTGAGCTTATATGATGTTTTTATAGGACAATAAACATCTTCTAACTACATGCTGCAACCCATCCTTCTTGGAGTAGAGGGGGGGGGTCACAAGACTACACCCCCCTTCCTACCTCCTTTACTCGGAGGTTAAACTTAAAAATAAATGTTATCCACAATTTTATTTACAAAATTTACAATTAACAGATAAATATTATACGGTTGTACATAAGGAAAAAAAAATAATAAATAAATAAATAAATAAATAAATATGTTGAAAAGTAAATGCGGGAATTGAATAAAAAGTAAGCAAGTGTGGGTATATTGGTATGTAATATAGATGAATATGGCAGCTTAAAATTGATTCTTAAATACGTATTCCAGTGAAATTAATCAGAATGTAGATGGATAAAAATATCAAATTTAAATTAATATTAAAACTATGATTAATCCAAGGTTAAGACTAAGAAAGCCTCAAGTCTAACAATGAGTATACTTTACAAGTTACAACTGTTGATCTACAAATTAACTTTTTTATATTCTGCATTTTTGATGTTGTGTAATGCCCTTCGAAAATGTTAAAACCTCTTTAAAAAGAATTTTTAATTAAAAATGCCCAATAGTAACAAAATTTCGATTTGTTTTCATTAAAAAAAGATTAGATAAAAAACAAAAATTTGCATTGCTTATGAATTATAAAACGAGAATATTTTTTGACTAGATTAAAACATTTTCTTAAAAATTTCCCAGAGTTTAAATTTTTTTTTTGAAAGACACAATCTTATGGGACCAGCACGGATTAAATAGAGACAGGTTTAAAAACTGGATGCATCAAATGCATAAAAGCATCAGTTTGAGAATCAGGGTTGTCTGCAGCTTCCACCAAAAAGGATGGAATGGATCTAACATGTTGCACGAGTCTTTTAAATTCAGCCATGTTTTAATTCAATTCCAGGTCTATATACTCAAGCACTATATTTTGAATGGTAAGGGAAGTGGGGGGTTTCACGATTCTTCTTCTAACGTATGAAAAGGAAGGAGAAGGAGGGACATGTAGGCCAATATTTTACTTAACAAGACTAAAATGGTTTAATCTGCGGTGTTAGAATAGCATAGTTCACAAGCAGAGTAATATCTTATGATTGATGCACTCTTGGCACAGTATCTTAGACCCGAATACAGATAGTTAATGAATCTTGTCAAATATTCTAACTGTCACTAACAAGGGAGTGGAAGACAGTTAGCTTCTTCATTAACAGTCTGATACCTGCGTTGTAAATATGCACTGGCAGCTCAACCATTATGGAGTCTCAATCAGACAAGATGGCGCCTCTCGTAACTAAATTATCGTGTTTCCTTCACAGTTAGGACCAAGAAAAGGCCAGTTGCAAGCAGAGATAGATTCATCATATTGTCTGACCGCCATTGCTACAGGGCAGGGGAATATATGAAGGGTAAATCTTTCAATCCATTTGTCCCAGTAGCACTCGTAAAACTGGGTACAGTCTTAAAAAAACCGATTATTTAAAATGTTTAAGACTTTGTGTGGTAGATTAAATGAATATTGAATATGCATGAATATTTTTACAGAATGATAATGCTTACTAGATTTCTTTCATACAAATAAATCCCAATGAAACATACCTGTTGGATGTCTGAAAAGTCCTGGTCGCTCACAAGCTTCAGGTCCAAGTGTCTCATTAAATGTTCTAAATCCTCCAGGTCCAAATTTCTCCCAAATTCCCAAGTCCCAGTTGTTTACACTGTTTCCTGCCAGTTTACCAAGAACAGCAGGCTTGCTGACCACTGGGCGCTTAACAGTAGTTACAGAATTAAGTTCTTTTCCAGTTCTAATCCCATTGTCAATACCATTTCCGAATGGCACATTTCTATTGGCTTCCCCAAATCCTCCCTTTCCACGATTTCCTCCATTTCCACTGTTTCCACCAAACCCTGTGTTTCCACTATTTCCTCCAAATCCACCACTTCCGCCAAATCCACTGTTTCCTTTATTCCCTCCATTTCCACCAAATCCTCCATTTCCACCAAATCCTCCAATTCCACCAAGTCCTCTATTTCCACCAGGTCCTCCATTTCCACCAGGTCCTCCATTTCCTCCAAATCCATTGTTTCCTCTATTCCCTCCATTTCCACCAAATCCTCCATTTCCACCTGGGCCCCCATTACCACCAAATCCATTTGCTCCTCTATCACCATTTCCTCCTAATCCTACAGGACCTCTATTTCCACCTGCTCCTCTGCCATCATTTCCTCCTAATCCAGATGGACCTCTGTTCCCTCCATTTCCAAAACCACCAGCTCCTCTATTTCCTCCACTTCCAATATTTCCATTAAAACCTCCAGATTCTCTGCTTCCTCCATTCCCACCATTTCCTCCAAATCCGCTTGAAACTCTGATCTGTCCATTTCCACCATTGGCACTGAAACCGCCTGAACCTCTGTTTCCTCCATTTCCATTGCCAAATTCATTGATACCCCCAGAATTGGAAAAGCTTTTTCCACCCCGTCCACTTTCTGGCTGCTCTGATCCACTGTAAGATGGAAGATCATCATTATACTGCGGAGAATTCAAACTTCCACTACCATAAGTATCGCCAGAACCACTTCCAACATTAACAAATGGTTTAAGTTGAGGAGCCTTGTTTCCAGATGGAACAGAGCTAAAAGGTCCATTAGATAAGGTAGCTGAAGAAAACCCTGATGGAATGACTGAAGCAACCTCTGGTTTAGGCCCTGATGCTCCACCTGGTCTGTACTGCAAAGGATTGGTTTCTATTGGTTTAGATGGGTACTGGAGAGGGTTACTTGGAGCTGGATAATCATAACCAGATGGTTTGCTTGGTTTGGAATATGTTGGTGTAGGGGGAGCATATGATGTAGACACAACTGGTGAGGATGGTCTGTAACTGGGAGTCTTAGTCGGTCCAAATACAGAAGTGTATGGAGTTGTATTTTCAAAAAGAGCAGCTACACTAGTATGAAGAGGAGCTGAATGCATTACTGGTCTTGGTGTTGGATTATATGAAGGCTGTTTAGTAGGATATTGCAATGGTGTCTGAGGTGTAGGATAAGAGTATCCAGCATTATGAGCCTTAGGGAGAGAATGGGATACCACTGGTTTTGGACCATATGCAGGAACATTAGGTGTTATTGGGGGTCTTACAGGTTTCTGTGGCTTTGGATATTCAATAGGATTGCTGGGTACAGGATACTTGTATCCACTACTGGGAGCTGGTTTGTCTGGCATTCCTTTAAATCCTCCAAAGTTAGGCTCAGGGATGTTAGGATGCCCATTATAACTTGGTTGTTGATATTTTGGCAACTCTCTAACTGGTTCTGGAACAGTGGGTGGCTTAAACCCACCATAGGTAATCTTTGGTGGAGAAGGAAGCACCTTAATGTCACTAGGTTTAGGATTATAGTCATTTGAAGAAGGGTAATTTGGCCAGCTGTCAGGAAGAGAGGCAGGTCTGCCTTCATCTTTTGAGGGACCATAACTTGGCAAAGGGACTTCTTCTATAAAAGGATCATATGCTGTGCTGATCAAGGGTGCACTTGGAACTCCATAGGTTTCTGCAGGAGCAACAGCAGGAGATTCAACTATTGTTGGCTTATATGTGGAGCTAACAACTGGTGCAGCAGGTACACCATAGGTTTCAGCAGGTGATCCAAAGTCTACAAAAGGTTTAGGGGTTGGAGAAGGAGCAGGGGTAGGATATTGGAGAGGGTTATTGGGAACAGGATAGTCATAACCAGATTTTTCACTTTTACTTGGAGAATTGTATTCTGGGACAGTTGGAGGAGCATGGGTAGTGACAAAAATAGCAGGAGCAGGTGATCCATAAGATGGTTTTGGTGATGCGTAAGCTGGGTCTTGAAATCCATAAGATGGTTTAGTTCCATATGATGGTAATGGTTCCTCATAAGATTCCTCTGGCTCTTCATAAGCTATCACATCAGCAGAAGGAACACCATATGATTCTAAAGGTGCAACTGGTGCAGCTTCATATGTTGGCTTAGGAGATCCAAAATTAACAAATGGCTTCAATGTTGGAGATGCAAAAGTAGGCGCAGGAGATGGGGCTCCATAAGAAGGTTTTCCTGATGGGGATCCATATGATGGAATTGGAACAGGAGTTCCATAAGAAGGCTTTTCTGATGGAGATTCATAAGAGGGAATTGGTGATGGTGTTACATATGATGGAGAAGGGGAGGGGGAGGGATATCCATAAGAAAGGAGAGGCTCTTCATATGTTTCTAGTGGGGCTGCAGGTACTCCATATGTTTCTTGAACAGGGGCTGCAGGTACTCCATAAGTTTCTTGAACAGGGACTGCAGGAATCCCATATGACTCAAGAGGTGCTTCACTTTCATCATACTCATACACTTCTTCATAGCCTTCAGTGGGACGTGGAGTAACAGGAGAGTATGTTGAAGATACAACTGGTGGGTATGATGTTTTAATTGGCCTGTATGTGTTGACACTTGGATTATAGGTGCTACTGATTCCATTCTCATAATCAGGGGTTGTTGATCCATAAAGAGGATTAAATGAGGTTAAAGGCGAACCATAAGAAGTGCTAACTGGTGCAATTGTAGTTGGATATGTTGGAGAAACCCCATAAGCTGGAATGTTGGGACTCACAGGTGCAGGCTGTAATGCAGGGGATGATATAAGTCCTATCTCTCCTGGGTTGGATACTGAAATGCCAGGATACTGGAGTGGGTTTTGAGGAACAGGATAGTCATACCCAGAAGTGCTTGGGTTATAAGAAGAGCTTGGGAGTGGTGCAGGAGTAGATGAAGGATATTGTAATGGATGGGCAGGTTCAGGATAATCATACCCAGGGCTTGACTGAGAAAACCCTGCTGATGGTGTAGGGGCCTTGGGTGTAGTGTAGGTTGGTGTTGGTCTATATGTTGGCTGTGGAGTTGTAGGTCTATATGTGGGCTGTGGAGTTGTAGGTCTATATGTGGGCTGTGGAGTTGTTGGTCTATATGTAGGCTGTGCAGTGGTGCTATATTGTGGGGCACCTGTGGAGCCATATCCTGGCAATAGAATATTTGAATCATAGTTATTGGACTCTAAGCCTACTGGGCCAGCTACCTCAATACCTTTACCATTATTGTATCCATTACCAGTAATAGTAAGAACAGGAGAATAGCAATTGTCACAACCTTCACTGACCACATCTCCAGGAGCTAGGCCTCCAACCAACAGGTTACCAGCTGGGGTACGTCCAGATTCAAAGCTTGGAATACTGGGTACTGAAGGGAAAGGTGAACTGGTTCCAGCAGGCTGGTAGTTGTTAGCAAAGTCTTTCCTGGATGGAAGAGGGCTGGATCCTGTGGAGTATTGCCCCTCATTAGCACAAGAAGACACCAACCATGGCCAATCACATCTTAAAGTTGCTTCATCAAAAGCAAGACCAAAAGGACATCTAAACTCATAATGTGTATAAGTGCCATCTCCCAAATGATCTCTGCAAGCAAAAAACCAACGACAGTTCTCTGGATCAACAAAAAATCCTTCTCCTGGACAAACATACTCCTGTCGTGGAATAGGAAATATCTCTGAGGAGCCATCACAAGGAGTTGCTTGAGAAGGCCAGACACAAACCTCCCAGCGATCATCAAATACAAGTCCATTGGGGCATCCATATTCAAAGATAGTATAGTCATCCTCATACTGGTTAAACTTCACACAACGATAGAACCTAAAATCAACAAGAATCAGATATCAATTGAAGAATGAAACATCAGGGAAAAGAATAAAATAATCAAATATACCTTGAGCAATCCTCTGGATGTCTATAGTATCCTTGGCGAGAGCATTCCAATATAGTTTCAGAGTTTTCTCTGGGCACAATAAAACATTCAAGATTAGTTATATAAAGCCTTTTATAAAGGTTAAAGAAACAAAGCTTTCAGATATTTTCTTAAATTTACTGAAAAGTTCTATTTGCTAATTTGAATGTTTGTTTGTTCCTAATTGACTGGATATCTCCTTCTCTGTTTACAATCCTGACAATCCTGAACGGAGAGACTTGAAGTCCCTGGGCCTGTAGAGAGTTAGGATCAAAACGAAAATAACAAGGGAAGGGAGGGGGGAGGGGGATGGAGTGGAGTAAATAGGAAAAGAGGATTAAGTCAAAAGTGGATTTATATTGAGTATGCGAACACAGTAAAATCATCTGTGGTTGTAGAATAAAGAATATTAGATAAACTGTATAAGGATAATGGGTGCTCTACATTGTCTAAAAGTACAAGAGAACCCACCCACTTCAACCTGTTTAAAAATATCTTAATAATAATAATAATAATAATAATAATAATAATAATAATAATAAAAGCAATATAAATAAAAAAAATCCTTGTACCTGCTCCAGACTGGTGACTATAAGCTGCCTGGGTTTTCTGTTCAGGTTTGCTAGAGTATCTCCCAGGGTTGCGAGAAGACTGCTTCGTCCCTTTCCACAAACATCGTCCAAATCGTCCGCGTCAATAGAGACAAGTCCTATGCCACCAAGATCACGCAGAAGGGTGTATTTAGCCTTGTAATTGATGAATTAATAAATTAAAGAATTGATCAATTAAAAAATTGATAAATTTATGAATTGGTGAATTCATTAATTCATTAATTGATGGATTAATAAATTGATGAATAGATGAATTGATAAATTGATGAATTGATGAATTTATGAGATGATAAAATGAGTATTTGATGAATGGATGAATGGATATACTAATGAATATATGAATTTGCTAAATAAAAGTATCTAATCAATGCATGATATAGTCCTGATCTGGTAATGTCTATGCAAACTGTTGCATCGATCAATTTATTAAATATTAATTGATTGATTGATGAACACATAAACAAATCAACATCTTTCGGTGTGCTATATTCATTTTGGTAAAAAAACGCTAAAATTATTAAAGATCATTACCGAAAGATCAAAAGAGCTTGGTAATATAAAAAGTGGGCATTGGGATTTATACGCAAAACCATACGCATCAATTGGTTTAATTAAGAAGCAATGCATAACTTTAATATCTTTGTAGATTAACTTTATCTTAAAACAACTTCAAACCAAGTTTTTTTGGGGTCTTACTCGCTTTACTAGCCTGAAATTATGTTTTTGACTAAAATGAAAACAATACTTAATTGACATCTAACAAATTTTGTTGTAAAATATGCATGGTTGTTTTCATACAAATGAGATGCGTTTCAAAATCATAATTGTAGCTTTATTTTAGTAAGGGAGCATCCTATCCTGTAGTTAATTTCCAACCATTTTTAGCAATTACAAATCATTAATTTATTTGATAACTAGAGTTTTAATGTTGATTAAAATTATTTATTAAATCTCAAAAGAAAAATATTTAAGATAATTAATTGATAATTTAATTACTTGATGATGTGTTCAATTTATTACCTAAAAACTATTTTTACTGGATCATTAAAATAATTTTTAATTAAATTGAAAAATCATTTTTACTTTTTACTCGATGACTGTATAAACTGGATTGTAAAAAAAGCTAATGAATGCAGAATTGGGTTCTAGAATATGATTGTTAAAATGCACTACTGTGTTTAGTGGTTCATGATTCATCATTTAAAGCCTTAAATATTACAGGATCGGGTATATACCCACAAAGGTTTTGATTTAAAGGGAGTGTTAAAGGATTTTTTCCAATATGAGTTTTGTCAGTCCCTTTCAGCCTGAAAGGGAGTTCAAAGTGTACAAATCATGTAAATGTTCACAAATTATATGCGGTAGAGTACATTAATACAGTATGTTCCCTAGACTATCCATTTCAGTTTCGAATTTTTGAAAGCTGTTAAAAAACTTATAAACTGAATTAGGTGAATAAAAAACATCATTTGATTTTTAGTTATAAAGGAAAATCATCGCTTGTAAAGTGAAAGGCATAGAGTCTATGTGAAATTATCATTGGTTAATTATGAAACCAGCCTATTTCATAATTTGGTTTTCTTTTAATATTAATTTTAGACTTTCTATAAAATGGTTATATAGCACAAATATGTGAAGTACACCTGCAGTATGGAAATAGAACAACAAAATGGCCGTTTTACACTTTTTTCTAGTACTAAATTCCACTCTAATAGGTATTCTATTCTCTTTGATTTTTTCTCATTTGTCCCATTCATGCAAACTTTTCTTTTCTCATAAATGCATTTAATTTACAAGATTAAAAAACGACCCATGTTACGCATTGAATTTTTCATCATTTCTGTATTATTATATTTGACATCTAGTGTTGAAATAAAGTGCACTGATTAAATGATTATCGATTAAATGCTTCATTGCATTTCAGATATTTGATGAATACAATTTACAAAATGTCTTCGAATTACACCGCAGCTCAGGATTAAGACTAATTTGCTAATTTGTTGAGTGCTAAAATAATCAAGTTTAAATTAATTTGCTTCGTCAATTTATTTGTCGATTACCTTGATTTTGAGACTTGTATCGTCATCAAATCCAAGCCATTTATTGCCTAGGTATGCATAGGGACCAGTTAAGTCTTCCTCACGTTCTTTTAAGTAATATTAATATAAACAATGTTTAGAGCGAGAGGATTGGAGGATAGGATTCTAGCGCATATTACTGCCTTGTTTCAATCCAGAGGATAAAATGCCATGCGTACGACAGAGATGGTGCTGTTTGCACCTTTTCTCAAGACCTCAAAATTTATACCTGCCTGCATATCTATATATATATTATCTTTGACTGTACCGCATTGATACAACCAATGTACAAGTAAAACAAGTACTATATTCTAGAAACCTAATTTAGATTAGATTCATTTTAAAACGGAAAATTAAAGATTTCTCATCACTGAAAAATATAGGCTTCAACTATTGTTGTAAAATAACGGATCTCAATGAGACTCGGTAAATCTTTATCCACTCTGGTTCTGTTAAAGATAGAATTAATGGTTTCAACTCAACAAATCTGCAAAATTAAATGTTAAAAAGATATATTATATTTAATATTCCTAAAGTCCAAGATCCACGTCCAAGAAGTGTGCAAACCTGAAGATATTTGCAAATATTAATTCGCTAATTATTTATCATTTTTATGTTTCATTGGTTGTATATGTGCACTGTGTAAGGTAAGAAGGGGAGGGGGGGTGCATGGGGCACAGGAAAAGTTATAACACTAAATTGAATAAGAGGAAAAAAGTAAATGGGGAAAATAGGTGAAAAGCAAGGTTTACTTTTTATTGTGTGTGAGGTTTGGTTGGGAGGGGATTATATTCAGACCTGTTTTTTAACCACAAGTTGGGAGGAAATGGGTTAGTGGAAAGGGAAGCGGGAAAGGCAGTGGGAGATGAAAGGGGGGGAAAGGGAGTGGAGGTGAAAGGGGGGAGCTGGAAGGGGATGGGAAAGGGAGTGGAGGAGAAAGGGTAGGGAGCTGGGAGGGGAGGGGAAAGGGAGCGGAGGACAATTGGTATAGTAAGAGAAGGGAGGGAGTGGAGGGGAAAGGGTTGGGAGGGAAATGAAAGGGAAGGGAGTGGAGGGGTAAAGAGAGTGGAAGGTGTTGGTCTAACCTGTTGGTATGTAACAGAAGAAGCAGGACTTGTAACAGCACTTCCAGGTAAATTCCTTTCCTCGTCAACCAGGTTAAATGAGTTTCCAAACGCAGGAACAGTTATAATTATCTTGTAAGGAGGAGCACCTAGACCTACCACTACATCTACCAGAGCATCCTAGATAGTAGATAGTAGATAGTAGAAAGTAGATAGTAGATAGTAGATAGTAGATAGTAGATAGTAGATAGTAGATAGTAGATAGTAGATAGTAGATAGTAGATAGTAGATAGTAGATAGTAAATAGTAGATAGTATATAGTAGATAGTAGATAGTAGATAGTAGATAGTAGATAGTAGATAGTAGATAGTAGATAGTAGATAGTAGATAGTAGATAGTAGATAGTAGATAGTAGATAGTAGATAGTAGATAGTAGATAGTAGATAGTAGATAGTAGATAGTAGATAGTAGATAGTAGATAGTAGATAGTAGATAGTAGATAGTAGATAGTAGATAGTAGATAGTAGATAGTAGATAGTAGATAGTAGATAGTAGATAGTAGATAGTAGATAGTAGATAGTAGATAGTAGATAGTAGATAGTAGATAGTAGATAGTAGATAGTAGATAGTAGATAGTAGATAGTAGATAGTAGATAGTAGATAGTAGATAGTAGATAGTAGATAGTAGATAGTAGATAGTAGATAGTAGATAGTAGATAGTAGATAGTAGATAGTAGATAGTAGATAGTAGATAGTAGATAGTAGATAGTAGATAGTAGATAGTAGATAGTAGATAGNATTAGGAAAGGAGTAAAGGTACTTGTTCAGCATCTTGAATTCAAACCCCTTGACCAGGTGGAATGGTTCAGGGGATAGACGGAGAGCCAGGATAAACCCTTCGGGTCCATCCTCGTATACATCTTCGGTCTCGTTAAACAGGACGTCCTCCAGACTCACAAGAGTGTCCTCGTCGTCCTCGGAAACTTCTAAACACACAAAGTTCTGATTCTAAATTGTCCGATGAACATGAGAAAGAGCTATTGGGCAGAAAACCAATTCACTTGATTTATGATTTTCAAGAGAATACTAGTAAATCTATTTGCGTTGTAACGTCATCAAATTCAGCAAATACACTCTAGATATTAGTGTTTCCATTTAACGGTTAATTGTTAAGACTATGAGCTGATAGGTTTTATTTTTGATCATCATAAAAGCTTAATCTAATAAATTTGATGATGTTGAATGATTGAAAATGAATATATTTACCAGATCTTTCTGTGGTAGTGGCAATCTTCTTTCTTTTCCTCTGAACACCCCTGGCTCTCCAGTTAAAGTTGGGGTCGTCTTCATCAAGAATAGTCGTCTCTTCAAAAACAGTAGTCGTCTCCAGATTCTCGGTGGTCGTTTCAAATACGACAGTGGTCGACTCATATCCGGTTGTTGCTTCCGGTTCAATGGTTTTTGAAGAATTGTCAATATCCTCATCTCTGCAAAATAAATGTAAAGATTATTTTAAAAAGGTTTCGATCTTGATCGTTCTTTGGTCTGGTTTACAACGAGGAGATATGGTGTGACACTTACAACCCTAACCTGTTCAGTATTTGACCTTTATATACACAATTTTAGACAAAATATATTCTACAGGCTAATCCAGAAAACATTAGATACAACTTCAAACACAGCAACTTTTGATTTGGCTTTTTTTATAGTCTTGGAATAGAGTAGTGCGATAAGCACTTATGCATTTTTTGCTGTTTTTTCTTTTTTAGTTTTTTAATTTTTCGTTGAATATTTAATCTTAACGTTATCTTACTTAAACATATATAGGACCGGCGATAAACCATTATATATATCGAGATACATAAATACACTCATATGTATATATATTTATATATAAATAGAAATTCAAGGCGCTTCGCGCCCTTCTTTCTAGGCTTTTAGGGCGCTTCGCGCCCATCTTCTATTTAAATGTTCTTTTTGTTTACATTTTAAAACTAAGAAGAAAACAATTTTGCGGATTTTTAAAAAAAAATTCGCGAATTTTCAAGAATTTAAACTTTTTTACAAAATTAAAAACCTTTGAAACACATTATTTTTAATTTTTATCATTGATAAACCTTCATTGTGGTCACGTGATGTCCCACAAAAAATTTGGGCCTGATCGGTTCAGCCGTTTTGACGTTTATTGGATACAAACAAACAAACAAACAAACAGACAAGCTAAATTTATATATAGAATGAAACTGCCTGCTTATAGCCTGAGCCATTTCGCAATTTTATAGTAATTTTTCAACCATCTTCCATAAAAAATGTTTTTTCAATAAAGCATTTGGAACACCATGAAGGATCAAGTATATAGTCTGGAACACCCTGTAGGAACAAATATATATACTCTGGAACACCCTGTAGGATCAAGTATATACCACGGGACACCCTGTAGGATCAAGCATATACTCAGGAACATACTTTAAAATCAAGTATTTACTCTGGAACACCCTGTAGGATCAAGTATATACCATGGAACACCGTGTAGGATCAAGTATATACCATGGAACACCGTGTAGGATCAAGTATATACTATGGAACACCCTATAGGATCAAGTATATACTCTGGAACCCCTGGTAGGATCAAGTATATACCATGGAACAACCTCTAGGTTCAAGTATATACCATGGAACACCCTGTAGGATCAAGTATATACTATGGAACACCCTGTAGGATCAAGAATATACCATTGGACACCCTGTAGGATCAAGTATATACCATGGGACACCCTGTAGGATCAAGTATATACCATGGAACACCCTGTAGGATCAAGTACATACTCCATGGATCACCCTGTAGGATCAGGTTTATAAACTTAAACACCCTGTTAAATTTCCGTTTAAGTTTTCGTAAAAGATCAGAATTGAAGCAACAATCTTCAGACTATTTGCATACAGCTAGATCTGCCATATTAGTTTTGCAAAACTTTAAACGCGCGCTGTGTTTAAACATACCTAGAGAGGAATTAGCAAATTATTTTTGCACAAAAGAAGAAACAAAACTTTTGAAATTTATGAATACTACTAGGCTTCGTATCTTTTATCCTTTCTAGGGGTAATCTGATTTTTTGTTGTTGCTAAAAGGGACTGTAAGCGTAATTTTAAGTATTTAGATATTAATGTATATAATTTTGAAAACTGATTATTGTAACAGTGCAGTGGCTGGAGAAGGGGGGGGGGGGGTAAGACGATGTTTTATGTTTTACCACTTTAAATCTATCATTGTTCTTTTTGCATGCACTACATAGATCTGAGATATTTGCATGTGCAACGAACCTGGGGAGTTGAATTGATTAGAGCAGGCAATATATTCAAATTTATTCAGGTTAGGTTAGGATTCTTTTATTATCCAACCTTAGTTAAAACCTTATTCTTCTTATTCTCCATTTCCCTTATCTTTACTACTTCTTTTCTCTGTGTTTCTTTTTCCAAGCTACAACTTTTATCCGTTTTCCTTTTTCCAACTGCTACTTTTGTCTGTTTCCTTTTTCCAACTGCTACTTTTCTCGGTTACCCTTTTCCAACATTACTTTCCTCTGTTTCCGTTTTCCAACTGCTACTTTTCCCTGCAGTTTCCCTTTACCGACTGCTACTATTCTCCGTTTTTTTTCCAACAACTACTTTTTTCCGTTTCAATTTTTTAAATGCTTCTTTTTCCCTAATCCTCCTTTGTCTACTAATTTTTTTCTACAGGGTGTCCCAATAAACTTGGGAATTCAGTGACGACGTTTACATCGTATCCGATCCATGTGACATTTTTTCATGAACCCAATTACTGCAGTATACCAGCTTAAACATCTAATATTGAAAGCCCCTGGTCTTGAGATTTTCAAAATGTGGTCTACCATTTTTGTATCTTCAAAATTGATGGAGATATTGAAAAATTTGTACAGTTTTGATTTATTTAATAAATCAAAATTGTCTTAATATCCAATATCTATATGAAAAGCTCATCAGACGTACAGTTTCTCCCGGTATCTTCTTTGTTCATATTCCAATTCTTCTTGTGTTCTATTTGTTCTTATTCCAATTCTCCCTGTGTTCTCTTTGTTCTTATTCCAATTCTCCCTGTGTTCTCTTTGTTCTTATTCCAATTCTCCCTGTGTTCTCTTTGTTCTTATTCCAATTCTCCCTGTATCTTATTTGTTCTTATTCCAATTCTCCCTGTGTTCTCTTTGTTCTTATTCCAATTCTCCATGTATCTTATTTGTTCTTATTCCAATTCTCCCAGTGTTCTCCTTGTTCTTATTCCAATTCTCCCTGTGTTCTTATTCAAATTCTCCCTGTGTTCTCTTTGTTCTTATTACAATTCTCCCTGTGTTCTCTTTGTTCTTATTCCAATTCTCCCTGTATCTTCTTTGTTCATGTTCCAATTCTCCCTGTGTTCTCTTTGTTCTTATTCCAATTCTCCATGTATTCTCTTTGTTCTTATTCCAATTCTCCCAGTGTTCTCTTTGTTCTTATTCCAATTCTCCATGTGTTCTCTTTGTTCTTATTCCAATTCTCCCTATGTTCTCTTTGTCCTTATTCCAATTCTCCCTGTGTTCTCTTTGTTCTTATTCCAATTCTCCCTGAATCTTCTTTGTTCTTGTTCCAATTCTCCCTATGTTCTCTTTGTTCTTATTCCAATTCTCCCTGTATCTTCTTTGTTCTTGTTCCAATTCTCCCTGTGTTCTCTTTGATCTTATTCCAATTCTCCCAGTGTTCTCCTTGTTCTTATTCCAATTTTCCCTGTATTCTCTTTGTTCTTATTCCCATTCCTCCTGTATTCTTATTCCAATTCTACCTATTGTCCTTTCCCCATTTCTCCGTTTCTATCTTCTCTATCTCCCCCCCTCATAATTTAGTTTTCAATTCTACCCTAATATATAACAAATTTAAAGATTAATCCGACTATTTAAATCCTCTATAATCCCCAGAAGAACACTCCCTGAGTATCGGATTAAGAACGAGATTAAATCCCAGTGTGGAATCTAATTAATGTTAACAGACCAATTAGTGAAGATTAACAGCAGGAGTTAAAACATTAATAACTAAATCATGAGGCATGAGAGAGAGATATTGTATAAACATTGGATTCACTCAGCTAGACCTAATAATACATAAAAATTAAGAGAAAAAAGTCATGAAACACAGATTAAAATTATTCAATATAATAAATAAGTAAAATTAAGCTTTCCCACGCATTTACAAAAAAAGATCTAAACAGAAAACAAACAGAAGGCGCTATAAGGTTTTAACTTTGATAAAATTGTTATCTTAAATTTTTCCTAATTGTCATTATATTAGTAAATTTTGACGCTTTTTGAGGCTCTATAAGATGTATTTATCATTTTTCAGGGTAAAATAGCATATGCTTTTTTTTGTAATTTTGAATGTTTTATTATTTTTTTATCAAAATCAAATGTGAATAATCACAACAATAATTGGTTTAAATAAACGCAATTTTTGATTCTTTTTATAATGTTCCATTACTACTTTACTAAACATAGAGACCCTAATACTTTAAGTAGTTTTAGGATTGCTTAATAACTCATTTATATATTATAAGTCAATTATAATTTGATATTAAAAGTGATTTTAAGTACGTAGTATTTTGCTCTGCAACTCTGTTTAGAATATGGGTAGCTCTATACAGGGTTATATAAGGGGCAGTCAACGAAATAAGAAAATAGAGAATGAAGTAGTGAAAAATGATGACAAGAATAATGAAAATAGAATTATTTTCCATGATCTGTATCCAATATTTTACAAAAAAAAAATAAAAAAATAATATTAAAAGTGTCTGAACGTCTTGTAATTCTGAGAAGAAATATTTAAAAAACCTGGAAAGTAGTTTTGAATTAAATCATGCATAAACTATTTTTCTGTAATTATTTAATTATTTTCAAAAATTTAAGGTTTATTGAAAGAAACTGATCGTTAATGTTTCATGAAAGATATTCTCAATTTTGCTTACTATCTATACTTAACCATGGGATGATGGGCGTGTTTTGATCCGTTTTTTAACAATTAAAAGTGTATGATTCACAAGTACAGAGTGTCCCACAAAACACGACAGTTGGTGAAAAGTTAAACTTTATTAGATATTAAATACTTTTTCCAGTTTATTTCGCAAAAATCTCTTACTTGAACAATATTTTACTTTGAAATCAATTTTACTGCAATGGCTGCCATATGATATTTTTTCATTGTTCTCTTTGGTATCAAAGAACTTAACAAATTATGGAAGACGACATTTGAAACTAATCTCCAACTGTCATGTTTCATGGGACAACCTATATCTTAAGAAAGTACAATCATTCAAAATTCCGTAGACCTTAGTTATTTAATACTATAAATTTTATTAGATTAAAGAATTTCGCCATCAGGTTGCAAAGTTATAGGGGTTAGAAAATTCAAGTTTTGGCAAAGACTCAATTCCTTCATTATTACTTTCCAAGCTCTTTAGAAGAAAGTAAAGAGAAGAAGAAGATAGATGAAGAAGGAAAAAGTTAATGTCATTTCTCACCAGTTATGCATATACGCGTACAGTCTTGGTTGGTACATAAGTCTTTGCGTCATTGATACAAGGTTTACCGCATGGTTGTACTCTCTGTACCCTCGGTTGTACTCTCTGTACTCTTGGTTCCGTCGGTTGTACTCTCTAAACTCTCTGTTGTGGTTTCCGAGCTACGTATCCGACGACGTATGCTGGCTCCGGTAGCCATCTTAATTTGCTGAAAACAACAGATTTAAATTCAAATAAACATTTTTTACATTTGTGTTAAAAAAAACTGCTTTGATGAATTGATAGCCTTAGGATTATTTTGTTTTCGCAATTTTTCAGAAGATTTCGTCAGATTTCAATTTAGATTATATTCTTTTAAAAAACTGCACCGCATACGGAGACCGTTTTTTTACTCTAATCTTGATAATTAATCCTTTCAAGGTTTATTTGTCTTTAAATCGAACTTTTTTCGAAGATTTTTAATTATTGATATGCTTACCCTCATATATCTGATAAGTTTAATTTTATCCTTCTTGTCTCCAGTACTCATAGGCCATTCCCAGTCCAACTCCATACCCTGCAAACACAAACAAATATTATAATCAAAATTTAAAATACATTTGAAAAACTAATGTTTATGCATTGTTTATGTGTTATCTAAAATCTATCTATGAATATCAAAGGGGGGGGGAGTAACTTCAGTGCCCCACTCCCCTCAAAAAGTCGAGTTGCGCCTCTAACGTAATATTTGTAAGATTATTATAAACAATGTAGGGGTGTGTCATATTTAACTCAAGATATTTGTCAAATATCTACGACAACTCCTATATAACTCCAGGGTTATCCCTCCCCCCACCCCAGGGGNTCCAATATATTTTATCTTGTTTTACAAAAATACAAAACTTTAAGAAAAAATATGAATTTTTATAGAAACCACGTAATCACTTTCTGTGGCTTTTAAAAGAAGGTTTTATGATTTATTGTTTTTTAACATGTTTTTTCTTTCTATGTTTTTCAGATATTTGGTTCCGCAAAATTCCTGGCAGTGTGTTTAAAGTATCAATAATATGTTGGGTTTATGTCATTTATTATTTCTAGCTTCTTACCAAAAGTGACATTATTATAGGGGTCAAATTATTTCCTCTAAATGTCAAAATATCCTTTACCAAATAATAATTAACATTTGTTAAAAAAAAATTTTTTTAAGAGAACACATTTAGTAGTTTACAAATTTAAAAAAACCTGACAATTAATGACTAATGAGGTATATTTCTCAATTTTGATATATATAAATATATAAGTATCAAAATATACTTCTCAGTCCGCTCATTCATAAGTTTTTTGAAATTTCAAAAACTGTTTAATTTAAGGGAAGTTTTTTCAAACTGGGTTTCCGAGCTAATAAATATTATTTTAGTAAAACCTGAATCCTAAAAAATAGAATATTTTAGTAATAACACACGCAACCTCTCAACCCTAGTTGTCTGAATACTATTGGTATTTTTAATCTCAAAAATGCAATAATCAGATAAAAATGTCAATTCCTTGCGGCGCATTAAATTCTCAGTGATCTCAACGCGTGCAGCGGTGAGTTGTTTCTTCGTCGAACAGGAATTTTAATATTTGTCGTAAAATGCAGTTCTGAGCGTTAAAAAATATATTCTATTTAATGCATATATAGGTCGAACGTTTAATGCATCATGACACAATGGTAAAGATACCCATGGCCTGACAGATACAACCCTTATGCTGTCAAGTCTAGAAAAAAGTTTTGAGTAAAAAGAATTAAATCCTTTAATTCCGCAGCTTATACGAGATAGTGCTTTAAAGGAGGATAGAAGACTATATTTTATCTTTTATTACCTTGCTTTACACTCTGGACTCTACACTTTACACTCTACACTCTACACTCTACACTCTACATTCTGGACTCTACACTCTACACTCTACACTCTACACTCTACACTCTACACTCTACACTCTACACTCTACACTCACACATGAATTTATAGAAGAATAAGAACTCAAATTTTGGCAATATTTTTCTCTCTAGTCATCTTTCCATGATCTTGAAATCCTTGTCAAAACATATGTTACCATTTTTAGGTTTACTTTCAAGTCTGTGTCTTTGTATACCATCAAATATTGATAAAATAAACATGTAAAAAAAATAAAAATTATTTTTTGTTCTTATTATTGTGCATTGCAGACCGCTAAAACTTTGAGGAAAGGATGGATGGATTGATGGATAAGGAAATTGATGAATAGATTGATAAATAAAAACAAGAAAAATGCAGACTCATGCTTAGAGTAGACCACACGACAATAGTATACCTCACACCATACAATAGATAGATAAATAGATATAAATAAGGATAGATGGATAAACGTACAAATGTAAATATAGATACAAATAAGAATCAATAAACAGATAAAAAGATACAAATAAGGATTGAAAAACAGATACAAATAAGGAATGTTAAACAGATGAATAAACTGATATGAATAAGGATATATAAATATAAAAACAGAAAGATAATCTAATCTAATAAAAATAAAGATTGATATTTAGATACAAAAAAGGATAAAAAGATATATAAACATATAAATAAACTGATATAAATAAGGATAGATAGATATATGTATAGATAGATTGAATAATATAAATAAGAAGAAATCGTTAGATTACCAGATAAATGTAAAAAAGGATAAATAGATATAGAAACAGATGGATAAATAGATAAACAAACAGATAGAGAAACAGATAGATATAAAAATGGATAAACAACAGATAGAAAAGCATATGGATAGACAGATAAACAAACAGATAGATAAACAGATTGATAAACAGACAGGTAAACAGATAAAAAAGAGAAAGATAAACAGATTGATAAACAGATTGGTAAACAGATAGATAAACAGATGGATAAATAGATAGATAACAAACAGATAGATAAACAGATTGATAAACAGATAAACAAACAGATAAACAAACAGATAAACAAACAGATGGATTAACAGATGGATAAATAGATAGATAAATAGATAGATAAACAGATAGATGAACAGATAAAAAAACAGATAAACAAACAGATAAACAAACAGATGGATAATTATATTAACAAACAGATGGATGAAGAGATAAAAATAAAGATAACTTGATGAATGAACTGATTTATGGATGGAGACAATGTGCGGAATTAATGACTTTAAATTTTATGTTAACCCATTAAATGTTATGTTAAACCAATAAATGTTATGTTAACACATTAAATGTTATGTTAACCCATTAAATGTTATGTAAACCCAATAAATGTTATGTAAACCCAATAAATGTTATGTTAACCCAATAAATGTTATGTTAACCCCTTAAATGTTATGTTAACCCAATAAATGTTATGTTAACCCATTAAATGTTATGTTAACCCAATAAATGTTATGTTAACCCAATAAATGTTATGTTAACCCAATAAATGTTATGTTAACCCAATAAATGTTATGTTAACCCAATAGATGTTATGTTAACCCATTAAATGTTATGTTAACCCATTAAATAATATGTTAACCCATTAAATGTTATGTTAACCCATTAAATGTTATGTTAACCCATTAAATGTTATGTTAACCCATTAAATGTTATGTTAACCCAATAAATGTTATGTTAACCCATTAAATGTTATGTTAACCCAATAAATGTTAGAAAGTAAAGTTGAATTCTTGTTTAACCGAAAACCACTGTTCTAACTAAACTATATCTAGAGATGGACATCATAATTTTAAACGAACTAAATTTTTAAGAACGAAGAAAATGTATCGTGAAAAAGAATTCCGTTCAGAAACGATGAAAACGATGAATGAACAAAATGTATCTCTCTGGAATAAAAAAATCGTATTTAAAAACAAACGAAAACAACGTTTTTAGAAATCGTTCCGGCAACTTTAAGCTTTTCAGAAGATTTTGAAAAATAAACTATCGTTTTAAACGATTTTTAGAAACAAACTTTTTTAAAAACGATTAGTTTTTTACTAAACGAACGATTTTATCGAACGAAAGATGTTACTGAATGAACGATTTTACTGACGATCATTCATTGAGAAAACGAACTAAACAGATCGAAAGCGAACGATAATTTTGAAAAAAACAAAACGTGTCTAACTCTAAGTCTATATTTATACTAAGAAGTTGCAGGATGATTGCATTTCATGGAGTTGTTAATGCCGAGATTTAATTGTTTTAACAAGTGTGCAAATAATAAAGATAAACACTTCACATTAAGATTAGTTGAAATAATTTAAATTTATTTATTTATCTTACTTCTAAGGGATTGGTTCCGTATTTTACTGGAGTCTGTAGAAATTGTTCCTTTTAATTCGTTGTATTTCATCTCAGACTTTTTGTTCGTCAAGTTTAAAAATCCAATATTTACATCAAATTGAAAATTTCTACAAGACAGAAAATTGAGAAAAGAAAAAAAGAAAAAACGTAACACCATTGTTATTTTTATATAATTATCAGAGGTGTAGTCAGGGGGCGGGGGCTATGGGGGCTAAGCCCCCCCTGAACCAGTGAAATCTATGGATGTCTAAGCCCTTGCAAGCAGACGTTAATGGTCGCATCAGTTATATCGAAGATATAATTAATAACTTGAATTTAACACATGAACAAAAACTAGTTTATTATATAATCTGGATAAGACCGGATGTAAAGTGTGTATTAAATATACCTGGATGCAACCGGATGTAACTGAATATACCTGGATAAGACCGGATGTAAAGTGAATACTGAATATACCTGGATAAGATCGGATGTAAAGCGAATACTGAATATACCTGGATAAGATCGGATGTAAAGTGTGTACTGAATATTCCTGGATAGGACCGGATGTAAAGTATGCACTGAATATACCTGGATAAGACCGGATGTAAAGTATGTACTGAATATACCTGGATAAGACCGTATGTAAAGTGTGTAATGAATATACATGGATAAGACCGGATGTAAGAACTGAATATACCTGGATAAGACCGGATGTAAAGTATGCACTGAATATACCTGGATAAGATCGGATGTAAAGTGTGTAATGAATATACCTGGATAAGACCGGATGTAAAGTATGTACTGAATATACCTGGATAAGACCGGATGTAAAGTGTGAACTGAATATACCTGGATAAGACCGGATGTAAGAACTGAATATACCTGGATAAGACCGGATGTAAAGTATGCACTGAATATACCTGGATAAGATCGGATGTAAAGTGTGTAATGAATTTACCTGGATAAGACCGGATGTAAAATATGTACTGAATATACCTGGATAAGACCGGATGTAAAGTGTGTGTACTGAATATACCTGGATAAGACCGGATGTAAGAACTAAATATACCTGGATAAGACCGGATGTAAGACTTGAATATACCTGGATAAGACCGGAAGTGTAGAGGTTGTTGATTGAGCTGGTAAAGTTTGTTAACATATCTCGGTTAGAAACAATTGATCTAATAAACATATATCTCAGTTAAATAATAATGATATGATTAACTGAAGGATGAACAATGGATGAATGAAAGGATGAAAGGATGAAAGGATGAAAGGATGAAAAAATAAAAGGATGAACCAACAAGGGTTTGGGACTCATTTTTGAAGTTTTGTACTCTTCAGTTTGGATTATTACAATTGAAAGGATGAATGAAAAGATGAATTAAAAATCAGAGTTTCTCAATGTACCACTTGGGAGTGTTTCCAGTCCTAATGAAAGGGAATGAATGAATAAGTGAAAGGAAAGATGAAAGGTAATAAAGGTATGAGTCAAGGGATACAAGGGTGAAGGAAATGAACAAATGAGTGAAAGGATGAATGAGTGGGGATGAAGGTAATGAATGAACGAGTAAAAGAAAGGATGAAAAGTAAAGGATGAATGATTGAAAGGATGGAATAACCTGAAGGTATCCCCCCTGATTGCCTCTCCTCCGACGGACAATAGAATCTCCATGTTCGGATTTTGTGACCTCAGGGCTGCGATATCTTCTTCAGTTCCTAAAATATATCCTGGTTAAATGTGTTGAGAATCTTAACTGTAGAACCGTCCCCCCGTTAAATGTAGGTTTTACGTATTTGCTATTTTATACCTTTTTTTGTTAGGCTTCGTATTCTATTTATTTCAGTATATAAGGCATTTTATCATATTTTTGACGAATTTTCTATGAGAGATCAAAGTATGACAAAAACATTTCAACACAGACAGAATGTACTTGGCTGGTGTATCATTTACCTTAGCAAGCCAGGTGTACGCAAATACTGACATGAACATCAGAAACAAAGGACAAAGGAATTAATTTTTTGCAACAAACTCAAATTTTCCCTTTATCTTTGCAAAAAATATAGTGTAAAGCTTGGATATTTCAAACTTAGCTTATTTGGTCCAACAGATTTCATAGTTTGAAATATCTAAGGTCTACAACATTGGGTTGCAAAGATATAGGAATTAGAAAACAAAAGTTTGTGGGAAGAACTCAGTTCCATTACAGAAAATGGTTACAAATATTTAATTTTTATAATTATAAAGATTTATTCACACACAAAGATATAAATACATATATAAATGGTGTAGTTTAAATTTGTTTAAATAAATTTTTGAAAATACAGGTTTCCAAAAAGAAAAGAGAAAAATATGCAAAATTATGCACAAATAGACGACATTGATCATTACTCATTACATAACATATTTATCATTTCAGTTATTACGTAATCATCGAATCCTTCAACATATAAATTATTCATTC